GGCGGCTGGGAGAGGCCCGCCTCGAGGACGACGCGCGCGCAGGCGGGGCGGACCACGCCCCCTACATAAGCCAGGTGCGCTGCGCGGTTAGCCACCGCGGCGCCCTCGGCAAAAAGGCAGCGGAGCAGCCAGTCGGGCGCCTCGCGAGGAGGCACAGGCGCCGACCTCCTCAGGGCCGAATACGCTGGCGCTGTCCCAGGGCATTCCACCAGCACGTGCCAGACAGAAACTTGAAATGCCCCGCGCCAGGAGCAGGCGGGCACAGCAAAGGGAAGCGACGCCCCGCCGAAGACTGGCAAGGGCCACGCGCCACTCATCTGCATGAGCGCCCAGGCGCGGAGGTCAGACCAGAGCGCCGGGCCACGCTCGACCTGGAGCAGGTCCAGCAACGGCCAAGATGGGGCGGGGCAGAGGGGGGCAAAGGAGACGCCTAGCGGCGCGAGCACGGGCGCAGCCGCCGCCTGGAAGGCAGCCCGGTCACGCTCTAGCATCGCTGGCCGCGCGACCTGCCATTTATACGCCTGCAAGAGAGCGCGCCTGGCCTCGGGGCAGCGCTTCGCCGCGCCCAGCGGGCCTTCCACGAAAGCAGGGCGCTCGGTGATAGGCAGCGGGGGAGGGGGGCGCGTGGGCCAGCGCCGCTGCGTCCGCGATCCAGGACCTGACCGGAAGGGCCGCGGCCGCCTCGCCCACGATGGACGCCGGGTGACCCTCTGGGGGCACATAGAAACGGGCGAGGGCCATGAGCGTCCGCTCTACGAACCTCGTGCCCAGGCGCAGAGGCCAGCCGCATTGCGCCACCAAAATACTGTGGCGCAGTGGCGGGCCCTGGCAGCCGAGCAGCTTCCTCGCCCAGACCCCCTGCGGCCTATTTAAGGCCGCCTCGGCCCAGGGGACCCCTTGCCAAAAGAGGGCGCGGGTAAAGGATCGCGGACTCCACCTGTGGGTGGACATGGGCAGCGGCCACAGGGATCGAGAAACCTCCAGCCAGGGCCGCTGCGAGGAGTTTATCAAAAAGGCTGTGGCCGCGGGGAATGTACTCGCGCAACAGGGGCTGACATGTGAGACCCGCATCTACCAGGGCGCCGAGGAGCCTCCTGGAATCAACCACCGGGCAGAGGGGGCCGACAGGGGCCGGGGCGCCCAGCAATGACGTAGTTGAGTGGTCCCTTGCTGGGCAGCAAGCTTGTGCAACTGCTCGAACAGGTCCAGCGGCTCGCCGGCTGCTGTTGCGCAGCTACAAATTTTACGTGGTCCGGCCCGCCCTGCTCAAGCTTGACCGGCTGGCGTTCCAGCAGGCAGCAGCTGCATCACTGCCAGTGTTCCGCCTGCCGTTCTCGGCGTGGCTGTCTGGGCCGCCTGGCCTCCAGTGGAATTTGTTGGACTTGGAGCTTGGCCCAGGCTCTTGGCTTCAATTTCGCTTGTGGGCAGTCGTGCGGATGTCGGGGTGCTGGCCGCTCCAGGTCCTCGGGGCCCCACTCTGCGTCCCCACGCTGCCGCGGTGTGCGGTTTGCGGGGCGCTGGGTGTTGACGTCTGGCACGCTCTTTTCGCTTGTCCCGCGGCGGCAGCTCTTAGGTCCGCCATTTGGTCTCGCATTTCTCTGCCCCCCCCTTCCTCGCCCGCTCTGGTCTCTCAGTTCCTTTTCCACCAATCCCGGCCACCGGCGGAACGCCGGGGGCGCGTGCACTTTGTCGCCGCCGCAGTGCTACTGGCCTTCACTGGCGCCAATCACTTTTAAGGCATGGCCCTGATATTGGAGGCCGCCTGCGCTCCTGTGGCGCGCCCGCTTGTATGGGGCATGGCCGGGGGGGTCGCCGGCGTTGGCCGGCGCCGTCGTGGCCTGCTCCGGGAGACTGACTGCTTGCCCTGCGTCCGTTGCTGGAAAAACTTTGGTCGCCTTCCCCTCTGCCCCTCGTCGCCCCCTTCCCTTTCTCCTCCTCCTCCTCCTCCTCCTCCTCCTCCTCCTCCTCCTCCTCTTCCTCCTGTCGATTGCTGATCGTGGCGGCGGGCCCCCCGTGGGACGACGACGAGGGAAGTGTTGGGGCGGCCGCGGAGCACCCAGAATGCGTTCTAGCCATGGTAGGCGCCTGCGGGGGGGAGAGGGATGGAACGCCTCCTGTTTCGGCTGTGGGTGCTTCTGCTGAGGTGGAAACAGGTGGGTGTTTTTGGCTGTTGGGGTCCTGCCCCTCCCCTTGGTCCCTGGGGGCCTGCTGTCCCTGGGGGCTCCGGGTCGGCGTGTTGCCCCGCCCCCGCTTGGCCTTGAAAAACTCCCACCTGTTTTGGCTCTGGGGGTCCCCGCCGGGGTGGAAACAGGTGGGTGTTTCAGAGTTGCGCTGCGGCTCTTCCGCGTCTTGCCCGCTCATGTGATTGTTTGCAGTAAGTTCCCGCCTCCCACAGCTTATGTTTCATGTGTGTTTGATTGTGCTTCGCAGTCGTGATGCGGTCCATTGCCTTGCTTGTGCTTCACAGTCGTGATGCGGTCTTTGTCTAGCTCGCATAAATGGTTGTTTGCAATGCCTTCCCACTGAGTTGCTCCTCGGCGTGTTGGGGAAACGCGAAAGATGGCATTGCACCTTGTCTATGTTCTTACTTATCCTGTTGGCCTTCTTCGCAGTTTATATGCTCACATATTTGCTTGGTGCTTCGCAGTCGTGATGCGGTCATTTGCCGTGTTTGTGCTTCGCAGTCGTGATGCGGTCCTTGTCTTGCTCGTACGAATGATGTTTGCAGTATGTTTGCACCCTTTTTGTCTTGTTCGCCTTGCTTGTTGTTTGTCATGCTCTCCTCTCCCCTTGCCGGCCGCACGCGCGGGGCCAGCCCCCATGCGTCTCCCTGGGGATAGGGGGGGCAGCCTCTCGCTCTCTTGAGGGCTGGTGCCGTCATCTGGGGGCGCTCATGGGAGGGCGGTTCGGCGTGGGCTGCGAGTGCGTTTCTTTCCACGGGGGGCCCTGCGAAGGGCGGTGAAAGACCCGACCCTAGACAGGGGCACCCTGCGCTCCATCTCGTCCGCCTCTCTCTCGGGGGACGCGCTGGGGCGCCGCGGGGGCCCGCGGGCCGGGCGCGGGGCGCGCGGCGCGCGCCGAGCGCCCGACCTGTGGCCGCCGCTGCGGATGCCAAATGGCAGCGCGCACGATTTACCGGGGGCGTACTTGATGCGCGCCTTGACCCGGCGGGCGTGCGCCCAAGACGCCGCGAACCGCGCCCTCCGAAGGGCGCGGGGCCGTGAGGTCATCGACGAACTGAGGGGGCGGCAGAAACCCTGTCCCTAATAGCTACACCACTGCCACTCGGCCCGCCAACGATGGCAGCTCCCGGAGGGCCGCGCACGCGAACTGGCGCGCATGCGGGTGCGGCGCACGCTCAGCCCCCGCTATGCGCGCCGCTTCCCTCGCGAGGGCCGCCGCCGGGAGATCCCCCCGCGGGGGGTGGGTGGGCAGCCGCGGGCGGAGACGCTTCCAACGCCTCGTGGAAGGCCCGGCGAGTGAACGAAGGTATGAGAGTGGCGCGGCCTCTTGGCAGGGCAGGCGCCACTTCGTCGGCAAGCCAACGCAGCTGGGCGTTGAAAACGGGGACCGAGAGACGGCGGCCCTGGGCAGTGCCGCAACCGAGGGCGAAGACAGGGCTCAAGAACCCATGGAGACACACGCGCTGGTGGTCCTGCGCAAGAACATCGTCAAGCAGCAGCCAGTCGGGCCCCCGAACGCCCGCTTGAAACGCCCCCAAGAGCATGGCGTTGAAGGGCGCCACGCCAAAGGCCCACTTCTCGTCCGCCAGGGCCCACCACGTTGGGAGATCCTGCGCGTGTCTAGCCTGGGCATGGACCATTAGTGCAAAAAACGAGAGAAAGGGGGTCGCCGACACCCCCCAGCTGGGATGGGCCCGCATACGCCTCCAGCGCAGCTGCGTTGCGGAGGTTCCAGAGAGCGTCCTGGACAGACGCCATTTCGCAAGCGTGCGAAATTGGGGGGAGGCACGAGGTGTCGCGGACAACGAGCGGGCCTGATTTGTGAATCGGCAAGGACTGGCGCAGGGGCCAGAGGCGGGCGGTCACGCACGAAGCCCGACTCAGGTTAACCAGCGCCCGTGTGAGACGGCGGCCTGCAGGAACTTCAGCCAGCAGTGCCGCGTTCGTGCCGCGAACCGTGCACTTGTGCGGCTTCAACATTGCTATTGCCCTACTGACCTCGTCCAGGGTGTGCGCGTCCGGCGGGGCCGGGAACGGGGCCGCCGGCGAGCGGGCCCCGACGCGGCGAATCTCTGCAACAGACCTGCTAAGACGGGCCGCTTCGGCCGCGTCCTCGGGAAAATCGTTCCGCGCACGTCCTGCCAGATCGCCCACGACGGCGTCCACCATTTCGGTCGGGGTCAAGCTGACAGCCGTCGAGGTCAACCAGCTGCACGGAGAAACGCGCCGCCCCTTGAAAATAGCCCGACAGGAACCGCTCGGCCGCCGCCAGTGAGACCGACCGCAGGTGCACATGCCGCGCCACCGCGTGCCGCCGCTTTTCCCAGAGGGCCATGTCGACCGCGTGCTTGAACGCCATGTGGTCGGCAAAAGACGCCGGGTTCAACGGGGCGCGGATGCCCGCGCGGGCTCTCATTTGCTTCTGGCAGTCCGGTTTCATCGCCGGGGCGCCCGCGGCGCCCTCGACCAGGGCAGCCACGTGGTCAAGCAGGCTCGAGACGTCGAGCAGCCCCCCCTCCCACTCCGAACCCGAAGCCCAGAGAACCCGACCGAACCCGAGGCACAGTGGCGCAGCAATCGCGCAAGGTACATCCGCCAGGACCAACCTATTGTCGGACCCGCCAACCAAATCAGGATGCACCCTCGCCGGGATAGGGTTGCCCACGACACCCAACACGAGATCAATGCAGTGGCCCGGAACACGCGTAGGAGCAACTGGATTGAAGGCGCGCAGCCCCGCTGCCTCCAGGGCGGCCTCAATGGCGCGGTCGGCTGCCCGCTGGCGGCAATGGAGACGCGCGCGCGACTGGTCGTGAGCGACGACGTACGCGAGGTGCACGTTAGCGTCCCCGGCCAAGATGACGCGGGCCAGCGGGTGGCGCGAACGCTGGCGGCATGGGAAATAATGGAGGCCCAAGTGGCCTCGTCACCCCCCGGTCGCGCGTACAGGGCAGACAGGAGAAGGGGGGGGGAGGGAGCTGGGGGCGGGCCCCAGAGCGCGAACCATTGCTCACGCGGCTGAAAGAACTCAGCAAGGGGCCGGAGCGCGAATTCCAGGTCCGGGCGAAAAAACACTGCAACCGACTCCCAGTCAGCTGAGCGCGACCCCTCCACCAGATACGGGCACCCAGGAGGGAGCACCGCACCAGGCGGGAGGCGCGCTCTCGGTAGTATACAAATGTCCACGCCGTCCTGGTCCAGCGCGTGAGCGACGGCCTCCAGCCGCCACTCCATGAGGAGCTCCGTTCCCAGGTGGAGAAAACCCGTTCTGCCTGGGTTCAGGACCGCCAAAATGATCCTCTCCCTCCCTGGGGCCTCGAGGGGGCTCTCCGAACTCCCCTTCGACGCGCAGGCTTCGGCCTGTTGCGCTGCCCCCGCGCGCGGCGAACGCGCGGCGGAGGCCCCTGCTCGCGGGCGATGGACAGGTCGCAGCTGCCGCCTCAGGGAACGCCCCAGCCCCCCTTCTCGCGGACCGTTCCGGAGCGGGCCGGGGCTAGCTCCAGCATTGCGTCGACACCCCGCGCAAACGCGGAGAGGCGAAGCACGTCCGACGCGGCCTCCACCCAGCGGAAAACCAACTCCCGCAGCGGGCGAAGCTGCTCCATCGGGCCAAAGGGGGGCCGGACGCGGGGCGCGGCCAGCGGATCTACCCTGCGGCTCGGGCGGGCAGAACAGAGATGCTTCGCGTTAGAGCCCAACGGCAGACATGACAAACATACGTACCAAGGCACGGAGTAACGACCCCAAGGCACGAATACGCACCCCCACTTGTCCACGAAGCGTCTGGGGCGCCCCCATGGGGCCTTTCCTGGACAACTTCTGCGCCCCTTGAAGAACGGCCGGCCGGTGATCGAGCGGCGTGGATGGAGGAGCGGCAGGACAAGCAGGGGGGGGGGAGAGGGGGCGGCAGGGGGGCGGAGGGGAAGGCAGTGGCAAGGACAGCAGCTCGACGATGCGCACGCATGCGTGCGCAAACGCACCCGCACCCAGTGCACCATCACAGGAGAAAGCCGCGGGCTGCGCGCGCGCGCGTCCAGCAGGCGCGCGCGACGAGGAGGCGCGACGATCGTGCGGCAAGCTCGAAGAACTGCACCGGACCTGGGCATTGCAGTGGAAACCACGGATGTTTCTTTTTTTTAAGCAGGACAAACTACCGCGAGCGCCCTAGCCTGCATGTCGGGCAAGTGGATGCAGCACTGCGTGCGCGCGAACGGCACCACGCACCTAGGCTTCCCGAGGCCGCCCTAAAAATGAAACTGAATGTAGGGGCCGCCCGACCCACCGAGGGAAGCTCAACCCGTTAAAGCCCAACCGGCCAACGGACAAGAACTCATGGCCCTCGTGCCTCCCCCTCCCAGACGAGCCAGCGCGCGCTGACTGCCTGACAGACGGGGCGCGGCAGGCACCTCCCGTGACAAAGGCGCGCAAAACTGGGCTTGCCGCCCGCCCGCTCAAGCACTTTCCGCAGGGGGCAGCGCGAGCAGCTCGCGCGCAGACATGCGGTGCTGCTCCAGCTGCGTCGCCGCCCCCGCAGCAGCCAGCGTCGGTGCGGGATCGCCCCCAGCAGCGATCGCGGCACATGCCGCCCCCGGGCTGGCCCCTGCGAGCTCCAGCCCTTGGGCGAGAGTCTCGGCTGGCATGCGGTCCGCTCGCTGCAAGGCCTCAACTGTCGGCTGCCGCCAATCGTGCGCGAGCGGGTGCGTGCTCCATCGCGCCGCCTCCTGCTGGTCAAGAAGCCCCGCCGCCGCCAACGGCAAGGGATCATAAACGTCTGAGTTTGCTGGTGCTCGCAGTGGGCCCGCCAGGGGGGCCGCCCGGCGATGCGGCCGGGCTGCCGTTGCTCTTGCGGCGGTGGGCGCCTGTCCAGGGCACGCCTGTCGAGGATCTCCCGCGTCTGCTACCGGCGCGGGCGGCGGCTGAGGGGCAGCGACCGCTGGCTCAGGAAGCGGCGTGGCGGGCAGCCCTCGCAGAGCCAGTCGCCTTGCCATCTTCACGCCTCTCCTGTGGCCCTGGCGGCCCGGGCGACCCGCTCGATTGGCCCTGGCCGCCCGCAGGGGCATTGCGGCGGTCTCGCGCCCCGTGGCGGCGAGACGTCGCTACCCAGGGGGGCGGCGTCGCAGCCGAGGCGCTCCCAGCTGCCCGCCAGCCCGCTAGGCCCGCGAGAGCGCCGCCACCGCAGAGGCTGCAAGTGTCGCGGGCAGATTGCGATAGGGCGTGGCGTGGGCCCTCCTGGCTGCAGCAAAGGCTCCCCTGCGCAAGGGTCCGCCTCCTCGTCCTCGCTTGGCGGGCCGGCCGCGGCTCGGCAGCGCGAGCACCTGCGCCCTCGGGTTGGGCAGTCTCCAGATGCGTTAAGGGACGCCACGAGGCCCGCGAGCGCCGCCGCGCCATCCGGCGAGTCACCCCGCGGGCTGTTGCAATGGGGGCACGGCGACCTTTCAACTCGGGACGCGTCCCCGGTGTGGAACAAGTGGGCCAGGCCCGCCTGCGTCGGCCGATGCCCAGCCGCGCGCGCCGCGTGGAAGCGGTGGGGGACATCGCCGCAAGCAGGCCACGTCGCGTTCTCCCCTCCGAGCGGCGTTCGGCAGATGGCGCAGTTGTCTGCCTCGTTGTCCTCATCTCTCTGCTCATGCTGCCGCTGCGCCTGCGGCTGATCTTCCGCCGCCTCGTGCTCTGCCCGTTTTGTCGGGCGCCGCGGCGCCGGCAGCGGGGGCAACCCCGAGAAGCCCCACTGCGCGGCGACCCCCCAGCCCTGCGAGCCCGGTCGGGTACGCCGGAGCCCGGCCGAACACTTCGCCGAAAGACGGCGGGCGGGAGGGAGGCCGCTCATCGCTGCGCGATTCTGGCGTGGCGAAGGCCCCGGGCGCCAACAGATGGGGCGGCGTCTCTGCCTCGGCTGGTCGCGGCGCGCTCTCCCCAGAAGGTCGCTCTGGGGTGCTGGGCTCCTGCTGCGGCGGGCCTGGGTGGCTCGCTTCCCCGACCCGCTGGGCTCGCAGCCCCCGTCGCGCGTCCCTGCGAGACCGGGCTGGTCTCTACTGTTGCTGTGGCTGCGCGTGGTGCTGGTGCTCGTTGTCGTGGTGCTCGCCGTTGTGGCGTTGTTGGTTTTGTGGCTGCGGCCGTTGCGCTGGCCGTGGTGGTGACTCTCGTCGTCGTGCTGGCGATCGCTGGGGTGCTGGCTGGCGCGGTGGTGTTGCTGCTCGCACTGCGGCGCCGAGGCTGGCGCGCTCCTCCCTCAGGCCGGCCCGCGCCAGTTCCTTGTCTGCTTCTGCCTTCCTGTGTGGCCGCGGCGGCAGCTGGCCGTTGCGCGGCCTCCAAAAGTGCGCGGCCAGGCTGCTTGTGCAGCGTTCCCCTCCATGAACCTCCGATGCGTCCTCGGCCTCCTGTGCGCTCGTCGTGGCGGCGCGCTGCTGTGGTTGCTGCTGTTGGTGCTGCGGTTGCGCGTGGTGGTGCTGCTGGGGCTGCGGTGGTTGCGGCTGTTGCGGGTGGTGTGTCGGGCCCGCGCTGTCCGCCGCCTCGCGCGCCACCTTCTGGGAGCGTAGCCTGAAGCCAGCGCCGCTCGAACCTCCTGGCGAGAGAGCCCCGCCGCCGCTCGAAGGTCGCCGCGCGCTTGACGAGCGCGACGTGCTCGGCCAGCGCCGCCTTCCACTTTGCAGCCGCGCGCCGCCGCTCAGCTCGTCGACGGGTCTTGCGAGCGAGCGCTGGCACGCGTGGCGCTTGGCCCTCCTTGCCTGCGCCCTGCGTGGCCTCCTGCGGCCTCTTGGGCCTCTCCTTTGCCTGGCCCTCCTCCTCCTCCTCCTCCTCCTCCTCCTCCGCCTCCTCCTCCTCCTCCTCCTTGCTGGCTTCTCCCTCCTCGGCCTCCTTATCTTGCTCCTCGCCCGGCGGTTGCGCAAAGCTGCGCGGCCACTGTTGCCTCTGTCGCGCCTGGCCTCCTAGCTGTCGTCTCCTAGGCCCGCAACGCACCAGCGTCCACAGGCCTGGCGGCGGACCTGGGTCGGGCGGCGGCGGCGCCGCCGCAGCCTCCTCCTCCTCCTCCTCCTCCTCCTCCTCCTTCTCCTCCTCCCTCTGGGCGTCTTGCGTGGGCCTTCCTCTGGCCTCGTCCGCTCCTCTGCGCCTGCGGGCTGGGCCCTTGGTCCTAGGCTGCCTCGTGCCCGCGCTCTTCTCCTCGCCATTCGTCTTCGCGTCCTCTGCCTCTCCCTCTTCCTCCTTCACTTGGCGTCTGCGCCTGGTCTCTGGCGGCGCTGCTCTGGCGCTGTCTGGCCCTTCCTGTGGGCGCCTCCCGTCGCCAGCGGCACACCCTGTGCCCCCAGCGTCGGCGCCCGGCGAAGGTGCCATGCCGGCCCGGCGCGCCTGCCCTTGCGCGCCCGCCCGTGCGCCGGAGCCTTGGGCCTTGAGCGCTGTCTTGGGTGGCGTTGACGCATGCGGACCCTGCCTCTGGAGCCTTCGGTGGAGCTCCCCATGGGGCTATGAAGCGCTGTCCTGGGTGGCGTTGACGCATGCGAACCCTGTCACTGGAACGTGCGAGGGGTGTGCTGAAATGATGGACATGCGGAGAGCAGAGGCAAGGAGGGGGATGACGGGGAGGGTGCAGCGGGAGGAGGAGTGACGCCGGGCGCTGTTTCTTCAAACGGAGGACCCAACACTGCAGGATGGCGGGGAAAAAGGTTCGGTCCGTCCCGGCTGCATTTGAAATATTATCATGGCGTGGGATCCAACCATATGCAGTTGTGGATACCGCAATTGTGAATAGCTTTTTCCCGATGGGGCCACGAAGCGCTGCACTGGGTGGGGGGGAACGCATGCGGGCGGTAGCACTGGGGCCGTCGGTGGAGCTCCCCATGGGGCCACGAAGCGCTGTAACGGGTGGGTGGAATTGCCCAATTTGGTGTGTGGCATGCACGCGGGCGGTCCCACTGGGGCCATCGGTAGAGCTCCCCATGGGGCCACGAAGCGCTGTACAGGGTGGGTGAAAACGTCAAATTGAGTGTGTGGAACGCATGCGGGCGGTCCTACTGTGGGCTTCGGTGGAGCTCCCTATGGGGCCGCGAAGCGTTGTACTGGGTCGGTGAAAATACCAAATTGGATGTTTCGGGACGCGTGCGGACGGTGGCACTGGGGCCTGCGGTGGAGCTCCCTCTGGGGCCACGAAACGTTGTCCTCGGTGGCCGAAAAAGCCACATTTGATGTTCCGGGGCGCATCCGGACGGTGCACACGGGCCTTCGGTGGAGCTCCCTATGGGGCCACGAATCGCTGTACTGGGTGGGTGAACATACCAAATTGGCTATTTCGGGACGCATGCGGACGGTGGCATGGGGGCCTTCGGTGGAGTTCCCTATGGGGCCGCGAAGCGCTGTACTGGGTCAGTGAAAAATACTAAATTCGATGTGTCGGGACGCGTGCGGACGGTGGCATCGGGGCCTTCGGTGGAGCTCCCTATGGGGCCGCGAAGCGTTGTACTGGGTCAATGAAAATGCCAAATTCGATATTTCGGGACGCATACGGACGTTGGCAGTAGGGCCGTCGGCGAATTTCCATATGGGGCCACGAAGCGCTGTGCGGGGTGTGCGGGACGCATGCGGACGGTAGCACAGGGACCTTCTGTGGGGCTCCCTATTTGGCCACGAAGCGCTGTACTGGGTGTGCGGGACGCATGCGGACGGTAGCACTGGGGCCTTCGGTGGGGCTCCTTATGTGGCCACGAAACGCTGCACTGAATGGGTGAAGCGCAGGAATGAGGGAGGAGGGGGCTACGAAACGCTGTACTGGGTGTGCGGGGCGCGTGCGGACGGTAGCACTGGGGCCTTCGGTGGGCCTCCCTATGGGGTCACGAAGCGCTGTACTGGGTGGGCGAAACGCAGGGAGGAGGGAGGAGGGGGAGAAGGGGGAGGGAGGATGGAGGAGAAGGAGGAGGAGAATGCGGGGACCGTGTTTCCAGAACGAGGACCCAACACCACTGGTGGTTGGAAAATAGAAGCGTGATCGTTGAGGTGTGAACCTCCGTCTTCCAGAGAGTATTGTTGCGTGGCCGTCATAGCGCCGCATTGAATTCTCAGTACCAATGCCACTGATAATCTTCACTTGGGCGGTGCACATTCGATGCAGTTCGCATCACATAAGTAGCGGTTCTCGTTCAAGCCATTGTTGTATGCAAATCGTTTCATTCGCGCGTAGGCGGCAATATCTTCCTGCTTAGGCCTGGTTCAAGTCCTCGTCTAGCGATGTCACCTCGCCTCTCCATCTTCGCAGTGGCCGCGCTGAGCTCGCTGCCAGGGCGGGGAGGCGGCGGTGCCGAAGCAGGCCGTTTCTTCTCCTGGGAGGACCAGGGGCCGCCGGGTGGCGCGTGGTCCAAGGGGCCGCCAGAGGCAGAAGCAGCGTGGGGCAAAGGCTCCGCGGCACGCCCCAGGGGGGCAGGCAGAGGTGGCGGGCCCATCTCGGAGGGCTCTCGGACGACCTCCCCCGGCCTTTTGAGGAGCCTCCCGAGCCTGCTCCGCAGCTGCACAGGGCCCCTCGGCAGGCCGCAGGGCTCCCGAGGAGCTCCGCCGCCCTCGGAGAAGGCCTGCCCCCTCTCGCCCTCCCCCCCTCGGCGCGCCGCCGTCAGGCCCAGCGAGGAGCACGAGCGAGCCAGACAAGGTCAGTGACTTGTCGTTTGACCCATCCCTCCCCCCCGGGCCATGGCGTCTCAGCCCCGCTCTCCCCCCCCCCCAGGTTGGGGATAGAGGCCCCTGGAAACCCGAAGGGAACAGCCTATGTCCCCACCTATGGGGGGGGAGTCGGCCAGTGGGGCCCAGGCCACGCCGGTGGGGAGAGGGATCGGCTCAACGATCCTCACCAAAGGTGGGAGGGGCGTGGGGCAGCGGCCCACCGAAGAGCATCACCGAGCCGGCGCGCACGGGAGGATCGTGGGCGAAGGGCCCGCCCATCAGCGTGAGCGAGCCAGCCAAGCAAGAGCCCGCGCTCTCGAGGGGGAAGTCAAGCTTGAACGTGATGACGTGGAACGTCGAGAACTTGAAGTCAGATGGAGGGCCCCACCAGACTTGGAGCCGGCTGGGGGTCTGAGGTGGCCCAGTACCGCTTCCGGCGACCAGGAAGGGGGGGTCGAGGTTTGAGATTCTGGGTGCGAGCAGGTTTCTTCTCTTTTTCAATGTCCAGGGCCCGTTTTCGGGCCTTGGACCGTCAGAAACGGATCCAGGGTGAAAAATTGCACCGCGTGGACCCTGGGATGGGTCTGGGGACCGATTTTGATTGGTTCGTGATCGATTTTCCCCTGGGCCCATGCAATGCAGACACCCCCGCCGCTTCCAACACCAGACGTACATTACTGCCGCTCTTCGGCAGTTTGTCGCAACGTACAAGCCTGACGTCGTTTTGCTGCAGGAGGTCGAGAGCTGCGATCTGGTGGCGCGCGCTTTGCCAGATTGGTCGTGCGTTGGCAGCGTCGTCCCCGAGCACGTGGAGAGCAACTTGCCTAACGTTGTCCTCGGGAACGTCATTCTGTATAGCACCAGGCTGTTTATCGGGTCGACACCGAATAGGGTCCTCACAACCGGTTACAGGGAGGCTGCTCGGCGGACGGACAAGTCTGGAAAGAGCCTCTTCGACCACCACGGGGAGGAGTGCTCGTGGGCAGAGTACAATGGCTGCAAGAATCCTTTTGCCGATATGCCGAGTGCGACCTCGGTCAAGCTCTTCCTGCGCGACGGCGAGTGGGCCGCTGCAGTTCGGGACATGTTCCCCGCGGGCCTCAGAGCCGTGAGCGTGCACCTCTTCGCAGGCGGGCGGCATGGTGGCCTGTCAGAGGCAGGCAAGGCCCGCCGGCGCCGATTTCAGCTGCGGTCTCTGATGGCGCTCGTGGACCACTGGAACGCCCAAGACGCGGCGGGGAGCCGAGGCGCGAGCGTACCTGTCACGATCTACGCTGGCGATTTCAACACTCGCAGGAAGCACGAGCTTCAGGAGATAGCCGCGCCTGCCGAAGATTACGGGATGCGGCTGTGGTGCCCTGCGGATGGCGGCTGGTGCGACAACACGCTGTCGAAGCACAAGACCCACAAGGCTGGCACGCTGGACCATGTGACCATCGACGTTCGGCGGGAATCCGCAGCATCCGTGGGGAAGTCCTGGAGGCCTCGCGCGGCGCGCCACAGTTCTACGATCTGGCCTGCACGTCCGCCCCGTCAGATGTGGGACGAAGTCTGCGCGGCGATGCGCCGACGTTCGGTCGGGAACCGTTGGATATAGCGTGTCGCTCCGCTGGTTCTGCAAGGGCTCCCTCGAGGGCGCGAAGTTATTCGCGCTTCGCGCTTCGCGGTCCTCGTTCCTTCTCCTCCTCCTCCTCGTCCTCCTATTCTCCCTTTGGGAGGGCGGCGCGAGAGCGCGAAGTTATTCGCGCTTCGCGCTTCGCGCAGCGCGAAGCGCGAAGTTGGGAGCCCTTGGATAGCGTGTCGCTCCGCTGGTTCTGGTCCACAACGCTTCGGCGCGACGCGCTATCCGCTTCCCGGCCCCCCCAGCCTTCAACGCCCCGGGCCTTCCCGAGCTGCCCGTCCCGCGAAGCGGAGCGGCACGCTGTCTGCTCGCAAGGCACAGCGTGTCGCCAGGGCCACCACGGTGCGACGCTGAGCAAAAGCTCTTGGCCGCAAGTCCGACGCAAAATTGCAACGTGAACCCTGCGTACATCCGACGTACATCCTCCTCCTCCTCCTCCTCCTCCTCCTTCCTCCTCCTCCTCCCTCATTCCCCCGTGCTGTACACCGACGGGAACTCGACGTGCTTCCGACACGGATCCGACGTGCGTCGGGACTCAAGTTGCCGCGCCAGGCCTCCAGGAGGTTCCTCATAACAGCATCTCCCTTCCTTGGTCGTGCAAACGTTCTCAGGCAGCCGATTTCGGGAAGAGGGCGAGGAGGTTCTGACCATGACCCGCTGTTCGTGCAGTTGAAGCCCTCGCCTGGTGGGGCCCGTCCGCCCACGCGTCAGGTCCCTCCTGTGCTGAGCGATGACAGTTTTCCCAGCTTAGGTGGCTGAACGATTGTCATGGCTCGGCAATTTTCTCTCACGTCGCAGAGTCGTTCGCATCTGGTGCCCTTGGAAGCGGAGCGCTCACGTCAGTTTACTCCGAATACCCTTAGACATACTTTTGCCGCAAACTGTACAGGCTCGTCATGCTGTTTGCATCCTCCACATTCCTCCCGAAGGCACCACCGTGAGGAAAGGTACGCTCTCAGAAAGAGGCAACGCGACTTACGAGGGCTATGACGCGTTGATTCAATATGGAGTCTGTTTGGTACACGGGTGTTTTGATCTCTATGAAGTTTGTAAGTGCGTTGTTTTGCTTGTCGCGTATGATTGCTTCAGAGACGCGCGGTGCTGTAAGGCGTTGTTTTCATGAGGTCCCCCCACCCCACCCATCCTGTGGTGTTGGGTCCTCGCTTTCTCTCCGCAGAGCCGCGCGTCTCCTCCTCCTCCTCCTCCTTCTCCTCCTCCTCCTCCTTCTCCTCCTCCTCCTCCTCCTCCTCCTCCTCCTCCTCCATCCTGCCCTCACCGAACTCGGCACACTGTCAGACGTCTCGTGTCCCACAGGGACCTCCCAGTGAGGGCGCCCGCATGGCGTCGCCTCCGTCCGGCACACCCCTCACGCGTGCCGTACCCCATGGGGAGCCTAGGGAGCTCCATCTGCGGCTCCAGTACGGGCGGCCACGCGGCGTCCCCACGCCCATTCCGGCGCACCCCCCTGGCGCGGACCATGCCCCACAGGAAATTCCACATGCGGCATTAGCGAAGGCGTCCGAATGGCGTCCCCACGCCCATGGTCGGCACACCTCTCACGCGGACCATGCCTCACAGGAAATTCCACCTACGGCACTCGTGGAGGCGTCCGCTTGGCGCTGCCACGCTCAATTCGGCATGCCCCTCCTCCTTCTCCTCTTCCTCCTCCTCCTCCTTCTCCCCCTCCTGCGACACTTGTTGGCGAACCAGAGGATTAGTGCCACCGAGCCCTCAGGGCTCAGAAACTGACACAACAAACGAGTTACAGCCCTGGAGACTCAAAAGAACCAGTCTCGACTGGGACCCATTTGCCTTGGTGGAGAAGCCTGCCTCGCTCGAGCCCCGCGAGCACACTTCTGCCCCAAGCGCCGTCGACCTGGGTGCAGCCTCGAGACAGCTTGCGCGCCCTGGCCGAGGTCGCGGCGCCACACCTGGCGCAACAAAAATGACCATCGGCCAAGTCGCCATTGGACATCCATCTCCTCTGCGCGTGCAGACCTCAGGAGGGCACAATCAATCGTGGATTCCCCAGAAAAGATGTGGGAAAACATGGGAAGTGGGGGGGAAGACAGACACCCAGAAGACATGGGAACATCTGGGGGATCCCCTGCTACTTGTGTGTGTATTTGTTCGTGTGTCCCAGGGCCCCTTCAAGACCGCTGGCAGCACAGGACGGCCGACTCGGAGAGCAGGCGGGCGGCGCGGGCAGCCTCGGGCAGGGCCTCCTGCCGGGCGCCACGCCGCGGCCGCGCCTGCACCCCGAGGGGCGCCCGCCGCGGCGAACCCGAAGGGCAGCGGCGCGGACCTGCGCCAAAGGCTCTCGGGCGCGGCTCGGGGGCGGCAGAGAGGGGGGGTGATGACTAGGGGGGCGCGGCTTTCGGGCGCGGCTTTCGGGCGCAGCTCGGGGGCGGCAGAGAGGGGGGGTGACGACCAGGGGGGGTGGATATCATGGCGGGGGCCATGGTGTTTCCCCAGATTCCATGGCGCCTCTTCTCATGTCGTGGCGGCCCGAAGGGCAGCGGGCGCGGACCTGCGCAGAGGCTCTCGGGCGCGGCTCGGGGGCGGCAAAGAGGGAGGTGATGACTACAGTCGGGGCGCTGATGAAGGAGCCCTTTTCGTTGGGGAGGGGCTCCGTGTTCCTTGGTTGTTTTGCGGCTCGCCTTGGGTTTTCCTTGGGTCTCAGATCGGAATTCGAAGCTGAACTTATGGGAAAAAGGGGCCTCGTTCCTTTTTGTTGTGTTCCTTAGGTCCCCCCCCCCCGCTGGGCCGCGCACATGCCGCCGGTCATGATTTGCACCCCCCCTCCTCTTGGACACCCCCCTCTTGGCCGCTCCCGAGTGCCGGGTGCGATGGGTTTGCTCGATTTGGCGGGGCCTCGTGGCCTTTCTGGCCCAAGCATCCGCCTCCTCGTCACCGGCGGCCATGCGCAGGATGTGCCTGCCGCGATCCTCTGCTCGAAAGCGGCGTGGGCCTTCACTGTACCACTCTCCAAGACGGCACCCTCCGACAACGACGGCACGCCCCCCAGTCGCCCATAACGGACCACACCCACTCCCAGAGATCAGCGTTCGCGCTGCGCGCGTCGGTGCGCGCCACATGCCCTCTCTTGAGGATGCCTTCGACAACAAACCTCACTGTCAGGAAAAACGCACGGGTGGCTTGGCAACTTGAAGCGCGCGAAGCTGTGCCATCAGTTCGGCTCTGCCTATGCGCTGAACGGGGCCCTCAAGACCTCCTCCGTGCACTGCGGCCGTTCGAAAGGAGCGCAAAGACACATGGGGGGAGGCGGGTCGGGTCTGGGGGCCACCACCGCCCAGTCCGCAGTGCAGCACCGGGGAATGTCGTGATCCAGCCTGGATCCGTCCAGAAACACATATCCCGCCAGGTCCTCCGAGCACCCCAGACACATCTGAGCGGGGGCTGGCGGGGGCAGCGGGGGCTGGCGACAAAAGGGGAGCAGAGCACTACCCTGGGAGCTCAATCGCGCTGGCAAAGCGCGTGTTTGGGCCGAGCGCTAGGGGGTCAGACACGATGTATGCAACTTCGTCCCGACTCGTTTCGAGGGTAATTCGTCTCTGCCGCCCTCTGGTTTCCTGCTGGTCTCACTCGGGAGGAAAGGGCGATGTCGGTCCTGCGGCAGGGTTGCCTGCCGACTCCCCAGCGCGAGCCGGACAATGATCAGGTGTGTGCGTTGTCTCCCTTTCGCCTCTTCCTCCCTCCTCTCCAAAATGGCGCTGGAAAAAACACGCGCACACATTCACACACACGCACACACAAACGCACACACGCACACACTCTCACACACAAAACCACACGTACACGCGCGCACGCACGCACGCACACACTTTTCGCAAGAGAGGCCACGGCGAGACGGTCACTCCACAATTAGACGATTAGGTCCGTGTGGGACCCGAGGCAATCACGAAAATCGGATGACTGTAAAGAAGGACCAGGCAATTTCCTCCAATAACAGCAACAACTCGGAAGAGAGTCCAGGCAACTTATTCCGAATAGCAGCCAAGGGCAATTGACAATCGCTGCCCTGTGCAAACAAGGCCCGCAATTAGTGAGGCCCGAAAGGCAGTACAGAAGTGCAATGCCAACCAATACAAATAATCAAGGCAATGATTCGCAGCAAAGCGATGGTCGTCAGACAACCACAAGACATACAAATCGAGGTGACACATCTTACAACCGAAAGCACACGCCCACACACGCACGCACACACAGGCAAGATACGTTCACGCCTCGTCTCGGTTCAAAGCTGTCGACCAGTTCAAACGTTCTCGCCGTTCTGATTCAAACAGGCAGGTTCTGCGCCTCGGTTTCAAGGGCCACGCCACACGGCGATGCCCAGTTCAAACGGCCACGCTTCGGTTCGAAACGCCACGCCTTGTTTAAACGGCCAGGCCACTACAATTCGAACAGTCGTGCCTCGCGCCCGGGTTCAAACGGCCACGACTTGTGGCGAGGCCCGGCTCAAACGGCCACGCCTCGGTTCAGCGCGCCATGCCCGGTTCAAACGACTGCGCCGCTACGTTTCGAACGGCCATGTTTCGCGCCCCGCCCCGCCCCGCCCGCCCAGCACACACCCTGCACACACGCGGGCGCACATGCACAGAGCTGCGCACAGCCGCACACACAGGCACACGCACACAGGCACACACACACGCACACGTTCCCACGCACGCACAGGCAACATACGCTCACGCAAACCGCAGGAGCACGGTAGACCAGTACGACGTTCAAGACCAGTGCTGCGGACCACCTCGCGCACGCAGGCGCACGCGCAAACGCACGCACGCCACGACAGACTTGCGCAGCAAACCAACACAGCAGAGCAAATTACAAACACCTGGTGGACAAAAGCGACGCTTCCCGTTCTTGTCCGGTCAGCCAAACCAACATCGTCGTGGACTCGCTCTCGGAGGGCTTCAAAACGGCCCAAGAGATCCTCCAAAGGCTCCCCAGAGGACCCCAAAGCGCCCCAAGAGACTCCCAAGAGGCCCCGAAGAAGCGCCCTTTGGCCAAGGAGAGCCCCGAAACGGCCGAAGTGGTTACGCAGATGAGGGTTTGGTTTCTTTGCTTCGTCGTCGTCGTCCTCCTTCTTCTTCTTCTTCTTCTTCTCTTCCTCCTCCTCCTCCTCCTCTTCCGGCTCCTCCTCCTCCTCCGCTTCGTTCCTCCTCGTACTTGTCCTCCTCTATCTCTTCCTCGTCGTCGCGCTTGTTCTCCTACTCGTTGTCCTTTTGCTCCCTCACTGTCTTTTCCGCCATCCACGCTGTCATGCTCGACATATACCGCCTTGTCGTCGCTATCATACTTGTCTTCTCTTCCCCTCTACGAGCCCCATGGAAAAATCGGCGCTCCCCGTTCTTGTCCGATCAGGTTTGCTCCAGGGCAGGCATTCACAGCAGA